TTAGAGAATGACACAAAATTTGGAGATAACAAAGAAGACAAAGAAAATTGAAGGTGAGTGTGCGCCTGGGTTAGACAAGGCAGGTTCAATTTGTTTTCGTTTAGGAGTTTTAATTGAATTTCCGAAATTGTGCAAATCACTTGGGACGAACTAAGGATTTCATTCCTTTTCTCCTGCGTGAAATGGTTATATTAATTACGAGGATTAATGAAATGAAATTCGGGTGACAAATCACAGTCATTCGAGAACAATGGGTTGAAGAGGTTCGATTCGTGCCGAATGTGTGCTTGCATCTTCACGGGAGATGAAGTGCAGTGCATATTTTATCTTGGGAATGAATAGTGAATGAATGATGTTGTGTTCGCGTTCTAAGACGGTTTTTGAGGTCTTTCCTCTACCGGTTCCGAGTAATTTTGAGACCACAATTTTGGTAAACAAGGAATGATAGTTGTAGGTGATGATGAAACAATTAATTCACTCGATACATTTTCCTTGTCACTTGTCACAATGATTTCGCGTCCGACCATTATTTGACACCGAAACACTGGTGAATAAACTAGGGTATATGTGAGAACCCAGCATTCGTGTTCATTCGTGTACGATAAGCCACATCGGAGTAATTGAATTACAAACATTTTATCTAACAAATTAAATATTCCGTCACCTATTGATTGGATGAAAAAGAGGCGTCGTTATATTTGAAAACGCGTCAGATGGCGTAAATCTCTTCGAGTTTCATTGATCAAGAAAATGAACATTAAGGGACGAAGGGATACCAGAGATTGATCAATAGCAATTGTGTTCCTATCACGTTCCACGGGAAATTTGAAATTGGAAGACAAATGGTTGAATGAGTTTAAAAAAACAACAAACGAAAGATTCCTTGTTCATTCACTCGAAGCCAAAAAAGGATTCGAAAAAAAAAAAAAGGCTTGAATGAGGGCTTACTTGGTGTCACTCCATTTTGTCTTCTTAGTATCCGTATACGCAGAATTGAAAAAGGTAAAGTGGCGGGAATTGGTGAATACGATCGATGTTCGTGGATCGGGTAATCAAATGTTCATGATAGGCGTTAACTGTGGCGATTCGAACCCAATGCTCCGTGGTTTTATTGAATTTTAAAGACTCTCATATTTTTTTTGTTTCCTTCATATCTGATATTTAACTTTATATATACAATATACACTGTATATACAGTATATGTATACAGTATGTACAGTAACTTTTTTAAAAAAAAATGTTTTTTAAATCGTCTCACGTTCCATGATCACATGATTTCACGATAATGAGTATCACCGACACCATTATTTTCTTGGTCGTCAGAAAAAATTTTCGCAAACACAAAAATCCAACCTCGTCTTCATATTCCCCATTTCAGGAATCTTTCTGAACTCCTGACAAGGACTTGTGATCCAAAAGTAGTAATCTCGAAAACAACCTTGAATTAACCTGTTACGAAAAAATTTTCATCGTCACACACCGTTAGGAATTCGAAAGCTTTTATGCTTGATTGCGGATCTTCGTCTTCTTTAGTAGGATCGACGAATCTTTATAAATCGTTATCTGGATCTTTTCTCTGTTCCCTTATTACAAAGATGGCATATTACAATTCGCATATTTTTAGAGATGTAACGAATAAAGTTTCTTACGAGTTACACTCTATTCAACCACCGAGTCTGCCAGACGAATACAAATTATTCGTTAAGTCCTCCAAAAAAAGCGAACATGGATACGAAAAATCAAACTGCACTGGAAAAAAGAAGGCATTGTTGATTGGAATTAATTATGTGGGATCAGAATATCAATTGAAAGGTATTCAAAGCTTATTGTCAACAAAAGGCATTCTCAATTGGTCCCCTATTCCCCTCATTTTAAAAGTTTCTTTGCGTGTCAATTCAGGATGTTTCAATGATGTCAACAGGATCAAAAAATTACTGATCAACCATTATGACTTCAAGGAATCCGATATTGTCACATTGATGGATGACAATCCAGCAGACTCAGGAAAAATTCCCACTCGGGAAAACATTATCCGGCATATTAAAAAATTGTTAGAGGACCCGCAGAAACATGATTCGTGAGCTCCCTCCTTTCCTTCTTTGCTTTCCGTTAACATTGTATCTTTCTTCTTTTCCTTCCAAAAAAAAAAAAAATCCCTCAAGACGGAACATAATTTCCTTCTGCTTCATCCTCAACATTCCAAAATAGATACTTTTTCCATTACAGCGGACACGGCAGCCAATTGGCTGATGAGGATGGTGACGAAGAAGATGGCTTCGATGAAACCATTTTGCCTTTGGATTGGAAGGTCAAGGGACAGATCATCGATGATGTAAGTTTATGATTATGTATTTACTGTATTTGAAAATTTATGTTTACCCGATTCGTACGTTCCATCTGTTAGGAATTACACAGTCTGTTGGTGGATCCTCTCCCCCCTGGTACAATTTACAACCCTGCTGATTTTTACTTTCCCTCAGCCTCTTGCTAATCGACTCACTTCACTTTCTACACAGGCGTCCGTCTGACGGTAGTATTCGACTCTTGCCACTCGGGTACCGTGCTTGACCTACCATTTGTATACTCTACCCGTGGTAAAATTAAAAGAACCCCAATAATTTTGAAGGATGTACAAGGCCTCATCAATGCCGGATTAAAATATATTCATGGTGACTTCGAGGGAATCAAGGATAGCATGAGATCATTGGTTACTGAAACTGTTTCGGGACTGAAAATCCGTAGAAAGAATATTGAAACGAAATCAAGTCCGGCAGATGTTATCATGTTTAGCGGGTTAGTGTGGCCTTTTACGCTCCAAGAGGGTCCCTGCATGCTTCTATATTATATTTCTTTCTTTATAATCTTTGGGATGGCTTGATGTTAATTTCACAGTTGCAAGGATGAACAAACTTCAGCCGATGCAAACGAAAGTGGATTTGCAACCGGAGCGATGTCGTACGCATTAGTCAAGTCGTAAGTAACTTCAAATATTAAGTTAAAGTTTTGCGTGGGTCGCACTTTTTTAATCCATCTATTTCTACTTTTGATGCACTCAAGGTTAGAAAAAGATGTCCATCCTACATATCGCGAATTGTTAAATTCTATTCGTGACATACTTCATACGAATTATGTTCAGAAACCTCAGCTCAGCGCGTAAGTTCAAAGATTGATTTTTCCTTATTATGGAGCTTGTGTTCGCACAAATATTTGGTTATTACAATTTTTTTCCTGCTCATCTGGGTTGGGTTTATTTAGGTCACATGAAATGGACATGAATTCAGACTTTACAATATAAATTGTTGGCCTCATTTATTTTGAATTCCTTATGAACAACTTGAATGTTTACAATCTGATTAAAACCATTTGTTTGTCCATATGTACTGTAGGTATTATAATTATTCTTCTAGAAACCATTATATTATTTTTAGCTTTACAAAATTCCTTTTCAAGGTTAATAATTTTATAGATTTTTGGTGCATACATACACACACACATATATATATATGCTGTAGATATACTGTATATCTGTTCATCTATTTAAGAAAATTATTGAAATATTAAAAGTGCATGAAACATACTGTCCACACCAATCCTTTATAGCGCTCGTCTGGATTCTCCGACTTATTGGAGAAACAGAGAATATTCATCCCATTGCGAAATGATTAACAGAGTGATATTTTTATTTAAAGTCGTGATATCTTTTTCGGTTTAAATACATGCTCGTATGCAAGATAATTTACTCGCCAATCACCGATAAATGAGATGAATAACATGATGCACTTTTCGCGGGCGACCATATTAAACAAATTTTGTATTGATCTTTGAAATACCTTCCTTTTCTTTCTATCCCCCCTTTTTCCCTAAATGTATACGTTGTTCGTGCATTTTTTTTTTATTCCTCGTCGGGATCAATGAGCGCTACATCTCTTCCACCGCCAGCCACCACACGAATCCTGGTTTTCATGTCAAAAGGACTTCCGTCGTACGCAACAAAATTTGCTCTGTTATCTTCAGTCATAAGTACATTTCCATTGCTCAGCGCGTCAATCTTAAAAATTTTTCCAAAATTCCAAGTAATGAATCCAACGGCATCCTTCTCCGAAATTAATCCGTCCGAATTTTTTTGTGCCCAACCGGCGTCCCATACTAAATTCCTCGATAATCCCGGTTCACTCACGCCGATTCCTATGGTCACTCCGTGTGCATGAAGTATATCGATTCCCATTTTATCATCAATGGGAGCCCCGGTAAGTACATTCTGAGCTGTCCACTGTTCAGGGGTCGGACGTGGTGGTAGGAGAACGACGGGGATATTACGATGGGCTAACTCGCGAGCCAAAAGATGCGCTTCTGCACCACCTAAAATCACAAGCCGCACGTTGCCTCCGCGTGATGAAATCCTATCCTTCAAACGAATTAGCGATGCAATTTCATCTTTACTGTGGGTGTGCACAATCAAAGGAACCCGTCCGCGTACGGCGAGACCAAACACATCGTCGCTCGAGTTGCTTGTTAGTTTGGCCATCAAGATTTTTCGGAGAAGAGAAATTTGGCCGGAGATGGTGGGAACTTTTTCTGTTAGATGATTTTGTTTGTGAGATTAACTACGGGCAACCTCAGCTTAATGTTCAGAAAACACGTAAACTTGGTTACCATCTTTGAATGGGGCGCCTATTTGAGTATGAAGTGCGACAGCTTCCTTGAGAATAACCCTTCCGCCTTTACGGTCGATTACTTTTTTTTTGCAAATAGTAAAATAGATTATTCATTCGGTTTTGTACATGTTTCAATTTCGATGTATCCATATCGAAATAAAGTGTTACCAGTTTGGGCACCGGTTTTGAAGGCAACAGATATCCCGGCCACAACCCCACGACGTGAAAGGGGCGAAGTCACTGCCGTGAGCACTCCGGCTTTATATGCGACCTCCAAATGTTTACCGCCCAACTTCAATCCATCCACCGCGTGAATCACGTTATTATAATCATTTGAAGTCACAATTCCATCTTGAGTGACTGACTCCTCGCCAATTTCCGATAATCCGAGATTGGAACCGACGGCAGTTATGCCCTAATATTTTCTATCCGATTAACAATAATGCATCTCGATAATCAATCGCGATTAGCAACGAAATATGGAGGCAACCTACTGGTATCACATAACCATTGTTCAAGTCAATCACTTCGTACGACGAAATTTGGTCAGTGGAAGTACAATTTGTGCCAATGCATTTGATCAATCCATCCTTGACCATAATACTAATCTTCTCTTCCGTTGATTGATATGCATCCATTATGTTTTCTTCATCGACAAATACTTTTCCAATATTCTTTATCAGAAATGATGTTGCTGTTCGTGACTTTGCTGTATTACGAGGAGGTTCCGGTGGGTTTAACTTATTCTTCAAGTGTCGGGACTCCAAAGATTCCTTCTCTAGCACGGATGTGTCGACGTTGAACTGAGGGATGCCATCAATATAAACCTCAAGCGGCCTTGCGCCCAGAGAAAGGGGATGGTTATTCCAAACCTAGGAAATAGTGGTAATTTAAATGAACTATTAAAAAATTTAATTACAGTATATAAAGATATCATCATCCTTGTTATTTACCACCACATCGGCATCATACCCTACGGAAATTTGCCCGATTCGGTAACCCAAGCCAAGGGCATTTGCAGGCACAGACGTGACGGCGGCAAGTGCGAGTTTTTCATCAAGGCCATAATGATGGGCCTTTGCTGCTTCAAATATCAAGTGTTGCTGAATGCGATTTTGACAATAGATTTTTGTTACATATCGACAGACCAAATTCACGCAACATTATTTATATCTCGTTATGCGACAAATCCAACATACCGCATTCAGAATCGGGTGATCAGACTTGAGAGCTACCGGGATGTTTGCGTCGCTCAAAATTTTAGGAGATTTTGTGCTTGCTTGAAAACTCTCCTTCTTATAACCCCATAAATCGGAAAAAGTAGCAATAGTAATATTACCCTTTGCGCGTTTTATGACGTCCGGGATGCGATAGGCATCTAAACCGTGATGAAAGGCAGTGATGGTAAAATTAAACTCCAAAGAGTGTCGTATCATTGCTTCGATATCATATGTCTACGAGTTCGCGATAAAATTAACTAAGAAATGTGAGAGCGACTTCAAAAATGTTCGATAAAAGATGTGTAAGAAGATGTAACAAACTTCATAGCAATGAATATTTAATCTCGCGTCTCCTCTCAACAAAGCAATCAGGCCATCATTCCGAAGATCCTCTGGAAAATTTGTATTCAACCGCTCGCTATTGCCGAACTTCGCGGAAATATCACACCAATCATCCTGTCGCCTTTTCAAATCACTCGCTTCGGCAAATTGTTTTCGAAAGAGCCATGCCTCTCCCATGCGAGTAAAAGGCATCACGCCTCTGTCTATACCATGAACCCTCTTTTCAATGAATAAATGTGAATAAATATGTGTTCAATGGTTCAATTGATGTTAGTTGATGTTAGGTACCTTTGGATTTTCACCACAAGCCATTTTCAACCATCGCCACGTTCTTTCTTCATCTCGGCTTACGTTGGCGGTAACGCTCATGTCGTCCACAGAGAGCGTATCCACAGGTCGCAATTTAATCGCGTAGCCCTCTCCACCCATCAAGTTGGCACTTCCGGGAAGAACTGTGAAATGTAATGATATTATTGAGATTACCATATGCAAAAAAAAATTAATCTCTATTTCTCAACTGTTCTTGGTGAAATATCATACCCAATGACGTTGTGACACCGCCAGATTTAATTATCCGAATTCCTGAAACAAATTTAGAAAGATGATCTGAAAAATCTGTCTGCAAAATAACCATATATATATGTATATATCAGACTCCTAACCGGGATCGCTTGGATTGAGTCCGTCCTGAGCGCGAACCTGCGAAAAAAAGGAAACAACAATCGTTCATTAACATGCTAAACACACAAGAGCTCGAGATATCACTAAATTGACACAAACATAAGGTGTAAGCGGATCGGATTCCTCGTTTCCGTCATTTGTGGCAGATAAACCAGGCCATGAATAGACACCTAGATGACTGCACAATTTCAAAGTATTTATTCACGAAAGCACCGAGAAAAGTAACAATCGTTAGGAAGGTTCTGTCTACCTGTGCATATCAACAAGACCCGGAGTAACAAATTTTTTATTCAAGTCGATAACTACTGTATCTTCATCATACGAAAGATCTTGACCGACCGCAACAATGATACCATCTCTTAAGATTATATCTCCCAGTATTTTTCCCCCAACTCCATCTAAAATAATTCCATTTGTTAATGCGTAGGTCTTTGTGCCAGGAACAAATCGGGGGTTGCGGCGCTGAACGCCTTCAAATTTGTTGCTTGGTCGCTCACGATTTATTTCTGCGCATTTAGAGAGCCCATATTTATAAGCCTCGGGAGAGATGCCAGCGGAAAACTGACCAGCTTTACGTGGAACATTAATGTCGTGTATGATCCAGAGGGTCGTGAACACGACGAAAAGGCAGAGAGTTATAAGTAATCGCTCGAGCAACGTAGAGTTACGAAGCGAAGGTTTTCGTCTCTTGACTGTCGTAGAGTTTGGAACCCCTCCCTTTTCATAGAGATTTACTGAACCAAGCTCCTGACTTGTTGCCATTAAAACTGTAAAAGAATCACCATGTGTAATTTGTCGATTATTGCTTTTTTTTTTTTAGCCCGCAGCCAGGCTAACTAGAATAAATAAATAAAAATATAATAAAATAAGTAAAATAATATTAATATCATTAATCTTTAAAAAAGAAAATAACAATTATAAATGATGATTTAAATTTAAAAAGAATGCTATAACTTTTTATCCATCACGGTAACGTTGTTGTTTTTAATAATAAACCACCGGTCAGGTTTTTTTTTTATTATTGTAATGTCGACTTTTTTTTTGTCATCCACAATATTATAGCAACGATAATTCTTTGTTACGGGTCGTACATCACGAACGCGATCACCTAAACGACAAAGATGTTACGGAAACTTTTTTATGATCTCTTTTTTTTTTTTTTACCAAAAAAAAAAAAAAAAAAAAAAAAAAAAACATATAAACTTAAAAACAAAATATATTTTTTTTTATAATATTTTTTGCAAAATTAA